AAGAAGAATTATATAAATGGAAACATAGTCCATGTTCATGGATAAGAAGACTCATTCATTTCTTCCCAATTTGATCTATGGATTCAACACAATCCTGATCAAAATCCCAAGTTATTTTATGGATATTGACAAACTGGTTCTGAAGTATATATGGAGAGGTAAGAGACTCAGAATAGTTAACACAATATTGAAGGAGAAGAACAAAGTTGGACAACTGATGCTGTCTTACTTCAAGATTTACTACGAAGCTACAGTAACCAAGACAGTGAGGTATTGGTAAAAGAATACACAAATATATGAAAGGGACAGAACGGAGAATCCAGAATAGACACACAGAAATATAATTGGCAGATCTTTGGCAAAGAAGCAGAGGCAACACAATGGAACAAAGATGGTCTTTTCAACAAATGGTGCTGGAGCAACCAGACCTCCACATGCAAAAACAAAACAGTAAGGAATTTTGTTTTTTTGGGGTAAACCTAACTCATACATGGAAACTATCATTTCATATACTGTTGGATAAAGTAATTTTGTTCAGGATTACATCTTCATAAAGAGGTTAGTCAACTAATCTTTGACCAAGCAGGAAAGAATATCCAAAGGAAAAAAGACAGTCTCTTCAATAAGTGGTGTTTGGAAAATCAGGCAGCCTCATGCAGAAGAATGAAATCAGACCACTCTCATACACCATTCTCAAAGATAAATTCAAAATGGATGAAAGACATAAAGGTGAGATAGGAACCCATCAAAATCCTGGAGAACATAGGAAGCAAACTTTTTGACCTTGGTCACAACAACTTCTTGCAAGACACGTCTCTAAAGGCAAGGGAAACAAGCAAAAATGAAGTGTTGGGACTTCATCAAGATAAGAAGCTTCTATGCAGCAAAGAAAACAGTCAACAAAACTAAAAAGCAACCTACGTAATAGAAGAATATATTTGCAAATTACATAACAGATAAAGGGCAGGTGTCCAAGATATATAAAGAACTTATCAAACTCAACACCCCAAAACAAAAAATCTAATGAATAATGAGCAGAAGATATGAATGGACATTTCTCCAAAGAAGACCTACAAAAGGCCAACAGGAATGTGAAAAAAGCTCCACATCACCTGCTGTCAGGAAATACAAATCAAAACCACAATGAGATACCCCCTCACACCAGTGAGAATGGCTAAAATTAAAAGACAGGAAACAACAGATGTTGGCAAGGATCTGGACAAGGGGGAACATTTTTGCACTGTTGGTGGGAATGCAAGCTGGTATAGCCACTCCGGAAAAGAGTATGGAGGTTCCTCAAAGAGTTAAAAATAGAACTACCCTATGATCCAACAATTGCACTACTAGGTGTTTACCTGAAAGATATAGATGCAGTAAAACGCCAGGACACCTACAGCCTGATGTTCACAGCAGCAGTGTCCACAGCAGCCAAACTGTGGGAGGACCCATGATGTCCTTGGACAGGCAGATGAATAAAGAATATGTGATATATATATATATATATATATATATATATATATATAATGTAACTCAGCTATCAAAAAGAATGAAATCTTGCCATTTGCAATAACATGGATAGAACTAGAGGGTATTATGTTAATTGAAATAAGTCAGTCAGGAAAGTTAATTACCATATGGTTTCACTCCTATGTGGAATTAAAGAAGCAAAACAGATGGACATCTGGCAAGGGAAGGAAAAGTAAAGAAGATGAAAACAGAGAGGGAGGAAAAAGAGACTCAATCATAGGAAACAAACAGGGTCACAGGAGGGGAGAAGGTTGGGGAAATAGGTCACTGGGGGATGGGCATGAAGGAGGGCACGTGGTATCATGAGCACTGGGTGTTATATACAACACCTCTTGAATTCTACCTCTGAAACTAATAATACACTATATGTTAATTAATTGGATTTAAAATAAATTTTTCATAAAACATCAAAAAACAAAAACAAAACAAAAAACATGCAAAACAAACAAAACAAAAAAAACATGTCCACATGTAGAAACAAAACAAAAGAAAAAACAAAATGGATCACAGACCCAAATGTAACACTCTAAAACTCCTAGAAAATATGTAAGAAAAAACCTTAACCACCTTGGATATGGCACCGACTTTTAGATACCACCTCAAAAGGCGCAATCCACAAAAGAAACAATTGGTAAGCTGGAAATCATAAAAATTAAAAGCTTTTGCTCTGCAAAAGAAAATGTCAAGATAATGAGAAGACAAGACAGACTGGTAGAAACATCTGCAACAGACACATCTGATAAAGTATCGTTATCCAGAATACACAGAGAACCCTTAGAACCAACAATATGACAACAAGCAGTTTAATTTAGAGTTGGGCAGAAGATCTGAACGGACATTGCACAGAGAAGTTACATGGGTGGCCAGCGAGCATATGAAAAGATCCTTACAAGTATCCATCGTTAGAAAATTGCAAATTAAAACAACGAGACACCACTAGACACTTAGGAGAATGGTCAAAATCCAGAACACTGAAAACACCAAGTACTGCCGAAGATGTGGAGCAACAGGGATTTGCATCCATGGTTGATGGGAAAGCAAAATGCTGCAGCCACCTTGGGAGACAGATTGGAGTTTTCTTTTTTCTTTTTCTTTTTTTTTAGATTGGTTGTTTCTTATGGAATCAAACATACTCTGACCCCACAATCCAGCACTCTCACTGGAGACTCCTTTTTACTCAAAGGAGTTGAAAACTTACATCTGCACAAAAAACTGGGCACATGTTTTTAGCAGCTTTTTCCATAATTGCCCAAACTTGGAAGCAAGTGGGCTATCCTCCTATAAATAAATGTATACATAAACTTTGGTCCATCCAGACAATGGAATATTATTCAGTCCTAAAAAAAATGAGCTATCAAGCTGTGGAAAGACATGAAGGAAGTGTTAATGCATAAGACTGAGGGAAAGAAGCCAATCGGAAACAGAATGAGACTTGGTGGTTATAACTCCGAGACCACTATCATGGGAAAAATTTCCCTGCATGTTGTCACTCCGGTAGGATGATTTAAACATGGGTTATCCATGTTTACCCTGCAACTGTAAAAGAAGGCTGTGATACACAGGACTACAGAATGTATGAACTGTGCCTGAGGAAACGGAGCCAGTTCATGAACAGCTCGCAGCTGTGGGTGATGCCGTGTGTCCATCTGGCCAGCGAGGGACAGGAGGGGACAGGAGGGCCTGCCTTCAGACAAGCCGCCCCGGATCACCCTGAGCCTGTGGATCAGGATGGCAGTAGCCACACAAGGCCTGGGGGCCCCAACAAAGTCACCAAGGAGGAATGTTCTAGGCAGGCCCACAGGCCCCGTTTCCTCTACTTGCTGCTCTTTTGTGAAAAATTCTTCCACACAAATATGCATTTTTGTCCCTCAATAAAAATAGCACTGGAGGCTTTCTCTACTAGAAAGTTAGGAATGTTTGTTTTCCTTAGTCTCTCTGTTGGATGAACTTTCATTGTTGTAAAATCACTCAGAAGAATGTTCATCCTGCTAATACGTCCCCTGGGCCAGTGTCCCCGCAACATGGCATCCGACCCACGACATCGAGGAGCTCACCAGCGGGCAAGAGGTACTCGAATGTGATTTTGGTTACTCGGGTAACGAAATGTGATCATATTCATTAACCAAAGGAAAACCTGGCCAAGCACAGCATGGATAACAGTTCCTGGGAGCTCTCTCTGCTTCTTTTCTGTGGTCTCCCTGTGAAATGTGGTCACCTCTCAGCAGTACAGCATCAACCTGAGAAACCCTGGGAGGAGGCCCCGTGTCTGTTCCTGGGACACCCTGTTCTCCTGCTGGTTCCTCTGAAGTTCCCAGAAGCTGTGCTCTTCACACAGGCCCTGGTCCCACTTACCGGCAGTGCAGGAGGGCATCATGAACATGTCAGGTTGCTCTTCGTTTTAAGGATTTGCCTTTTAATTCTCAATTTGTTTCTGTTCCTAAGCTTTTAGAGCTTTTTGTCAACTTATGGGAAACATCTTGAAAAGGTCAAGTGACCTTCAAATCTAAATGCTTCCACCTAGTATGTCCTTAAGAATGATTCCCCCACCCCCTGCCCCAAAGCTTAATAGTTGCTTTCTCAGAATTGAGATTTTAACATAAAAATACACAAGTGAAAAACCTCCCAAATATCGGCATTTTCACAGCTAATTCCCTTAAAAAAAAAAGATTTATTTCTTTATTATTTTAGAGATGTGGGGAGGGGCAGAAGGTGAGGGAGAGAGAATCTTAAGCAGGCTCTGTGCTGAGTGCAGAGCCTGACAGGGGGCTCGATCTCATGACCCAGAGATCACGACCTGAGCTGAAACCAAGAATCAGACACTTAACTGACTGCATCACCCAGGCGCCCCCACAGCTCACGCCTAACATATTTTCTGACTTTTGTAAAGAAGGAAGAAAAATCAACAAGAATTTTTTAGGTAAGCCGCAGTATTATGAAAACAAAATATTACATGGTATTATATAATAAAATATTTTATAGTATTTCAATGTTATACAAATAAGTAAACATAAATACATTTCCAAATAATATGAAATTTTATAAGGTTATATCTTAATTGTTTTTACTAAGAATAAGAAAAGCTCTTTCCAATGGGCTGGTCAAAGGTGGAAACAAGGTTACTTAAAAATGCAAAGAAAAGTTATAAATTCAGATTAAGGCTGTGACATAAAGGCTAGACACAATCCCTAGAGGTGAGGGCTCCCGGACGAGAAAGCGGATCCCTAGCCTGTGCCAGCAGCACCTGGAGAGGATTGGTGTTGAAAATGCACCACTACCTATTCTCCAGAGAGAGTTTTCAGGGTCAGGACTGTACCCTCACTTCTGTCCCAACAGGGAACATCCAGGAACCAGCTCCGGGACCCTGTTCGAGTTCCCCTGGCTCTGGGGACTCAGGGCATGACTAACCATCTCGAGACATCTGGGGCCAGGGATGACTTTTGGAAGTAGGTACCGCCCAGGGTCAGGGTGGAGGGTCATCCAGAGGAACCACTGCGGTCCCCCGTGGGCAAGAGCTGCCCTGAGAGGGGAGGCCAGGGGAAGAGCAGGACCTCTACCCTGTGACGGGGGCCCCGGGAGGACCGGCTGGCCGAGGCACTGGTCCTTGCTTCAAGGAGCTGCAGGTGTGCGATGCCTGGAAATGGCACCAAATGGCCAGGAGAGGAGTCGGCTCCGAACCCTGCCGAGGCCTGGGCCACTGTTGGGCTTGTGGCAGCGCGGTGCTGGCCACACAGTCCGGCCCCTGTGGGTGATGAGTAGTCAGAACCGGATCGGTGAGGCGGGCCAGCAGGTGAGGGTGGCGGGCACACCTGGGAAGCCCACGCAGCAGGAGGTGCAATGGAGAGGTCCCCGGCAATCCTGGGGGGCAGCAGCTGCGCGTCGAGATGTGACTTGGCATTTGGACTCCTGTCTGGGCAATTTAAGTCCTGAAACCAGACCTCCTCCCGTTATTAGAGATAAGCAGAGAGCCCCGACTTCACCCAAGGGCTGCGGGGAACAGCACCAAGGAGCAGGTAGGAGTAGACAGGTGGAGACAACAGGGCTGGTTTTGAAAGTAGCACACGGAGTCCAGCTTGTTCAAGGCTGAAGAAGTAACAGCTTTGGGATCACAGGGTCCTGTACCACTAGACTCAATTAGGAAAGACCTGCTGAACGCCGTCGCCCAAGAGGACTCCAAGGTGACTTGGAAGAGTACTGCTTATTTTCCCAGAGAGGATTTTTTATTTTTAATCCATCTAACAATACTAGCATTTTTGTGTGAGGAAATTTAACTCTGTAAAAAAATAACTAATTGTGTGTACTTTATTTTACAAATACAAATGACTTGATAATAATATGAAAGAATAAAATCAGCAATAATAGAAAAATCACTCAATACTTGCTAAGGAAGTTGTATTACTATTTGAACTCCTTTCCCCCTTGCAACAATGCTATTAACTTTGATCCCCATTTTCTGGGTCAAGGAAATGAAGTCTGGAGGCACTGGGTGACTTGCCCAAGGGGAAAGTTTAGCTCACCCCGGGGAATACGCAGTGCAGCGTAAATGTACATACTCTACAGACTATTTACTGACACTGGAAATAGGCCCAGAAGCGTTACCGGCGTGAAGGTATGGCAGGTGTAAGAGGGAAGGTCAGTGGTCTGGCCTCTGAGGTTTAAGGACAGTGTCTGAGCTCAGAGAAGCCTGGCTGGCTACAGGGGTCGTTGCAGGCAAGTGGCACAGATCCTGAGGCCACAGGGAGCAGGTGGGAGTGCGTGCAGCTTCTGGACTCAGGAGCAAGGCCGAGCTGCAGACATCCTTAGGGGTGGGTGCAGGGGGACAGCACAAACATGCTTCCAGCCGGAGAGCTGTGTCCCCCACGCCTGCGGGCGGAGGTGTTCCCTGTTCTGTATCCTCATCTACCCTGCCTGCTGAGCATTGTTTTATACCATCTGGAAGTGACTTTCACCTGTGTTACAGTGTGGCTGTGGAGAGCATAAGTGTGAGGAATGGGCTCTTCTGGTTATCATAGCACAGGATGCCAGGGGGCTCAGGCTGAGGCGGGGAGGGCTCCCCAGCATACCCCAGTAATGGAGACATGCCTCTGTGTGGGGAAAGCAGCTATCCGCATGGCCAGGGGCATTTATTTTAAAATTCAATTGGCCAACATGTAGTATAATACCCAGTTCCTATCCCATCATGTGCCCTCCTTAGTCCCATCACCCAGTTACCCCATCCCCACACCCTCTACTCCTTCTGCAACCCTTTGTATCCCAGAATTAAGAGTCTCTCATGGTTTGTCTTCCTCTCTAATTTTTCTCTACTCAGTTTTCCCCTTTCCCTTATGGTCCCTTTAACTACTTCTTATATTCTGCATATGAGTGAGACCATATGATAATCGTCCTCCGATTGACTTACTTCACTCAGCATAATACCCTCCAGTTCCATCCACGTAGACGTAAATGGTGAGTATTCGTCCTTTCTGATGGCTGAGTAATATTCCATTGTATATTTAGACCACATCTTCTTTATCCATTCATCTGTCAATGGATATCTTGGCTCCTTCCACAGTTTGGCTCTTGTGGACATCACTGCTGTGAACATTAGGCACAATTCTAAAGACCAATCCTGTTCCTGGAAATGGTGAATCTGACCAACCTCAGAGAGGTAGTGGCAGTTGGGAAACCATCTGGATCATGTTACCTACTGTGTCCTTGCTGTGAGCACCACAGAAAGTGTAGCTGTGTGTATGTGGGAACATTTCCAGAAGTTTCCATAACTTAAAAAGTAAAAGTGCATGAAACTGAGAAAAATATTGTGACCAATCAAGGGAACCACCCTTAAGGATGAGCACTGTAGCCTGAAATTTTTTTTTTTTTTTTTTTTTTTTTTTTTGCTTTTTGGGAAAAGATTTTTACTCTGTGGAACACCAAAAAGTTATCAGATAATTGCCACCCTCCACATTTGTTCTTCTCAAGTACATGATTTATTGAAATCAGTTTGAGGCCTGTTTTAAATATAAATTGTTTTCAAAACCAAGCTTGTAATATATCCTGAATATCATGTAGAGAGCCACGTAGATTAAACATCACTTCATTTTCAGCAAAATGGAGATCTAAGTTTGTTATTTCTTCCACTATGTTTGCTTTTGATTTCCATTTCTGCTTGGTATATATAAATGGCGAAACATTCGTAAGATTTATGGGAGGTGAATCTTGTTAAAAATAAAATGCAGGTAGCCATAAAGTCTGGAAATATTGACAGTATTTTTCTAATAGATTGAACCCCTTTGACTCTTTCTTCTAGGGTGAAGGTACAAGTTTATGTGAGAGAAATTGCACCCACAAATCATCAGAGGCTACATAGGATAGATGTGCATGCCTTGATTGGTGGGAATGTTGTTTTAACACACATTAGTTCTTTGAAATTGTACACAGTTTAGTGAACTATGAATTGCTAGTGAGGGACAACACATTCACATGTCATAGGGAGAAACTGTTATGGATGTCTGTCTACGTTTGCAGGCTGCATGGCCACCCTAAGTGACTTACTCAAAAGACTGAATAATAATCACTGTGTTAAAACTGATTAAGGGTCAACTAGTCAAAGAAATACTGCTCTTTGTAAAGCATTTCCTGTATGAAAATTTTCCTAATTGGCCTCATTTTGTTCTGCATTAGTTGCATTAAAAAAAAATACTATCCAATACTGTAAGACACCTGAGACCATATTGTATCATTTTGTGATTCAACGACATAAGGGAGTAAGGTAGAAAAATAGTTATGTTTGTGAACTCTGGCAAATAGAAGGGTATTTCTTGTTGAAATAAATAGGCCAAAGAGCCTTCATGTTAGTTCTGCTTCTCTTAATGAAGACTGGCACTGTCGTTCCCATGGATAATCTGAGAGACTTAACCAGGGACACATGCTTGGCAGCTGTCATTAAAATAGATTTTAACAGGGCAAGAAAAATGAGTTGCTTATGAGCAACAAGAAACACATATACACTGTCATGAAAATGCACCCTTTGGAAAGCGGTATATAATGTGGGCATTTTGATGTACACTTGTACATTAACATACATTTTGATTATTAATGTACACTTTCTTCAATTCAGGTATTAAGATGTTCCTTCTACTAGTTAGGTCATGTGTATATCTCATAGATGAAATGATATATTTTGTAAGATTTCTAACTATTTGAAACAATGTGTCCTTTCTTTTTAGCCCTATAATGAGTATAAAATGGAGCCTGATTGCCTGAGACTTGCAAAATGTTTATTTTTAGAAAATTATTTTAAAAAGTGAATCCTCACAAATAGGACCTTGGTGTAAACTATGTTAGCAGAACATTAGGACTTTGTCACATCTGGAAATATGTATAAAATACCATTTGAGGGCATTGCCACATCTTAAGGAAAAAAGATAAAAAGTATGATTTTTATCAGAGGATAAAATGGAAATATTTGTAGGTGTCTGACTCATTTGTAAAAATCCTCACATAACTGTTAGCATGTTTCATTTAAAAATAAGCAAAACTCATAAACCTGACATAGCTATTATGCACAACATAACATGCCAAGGCCCAGCCCCCTGGGAGGTGAGAGTCCAGATGCCTTTTTGCTGGTTTATTTTATTCCAACATTTGCTGCCAACCTTTACCATGTTTCCAAAGTAAGGAAGTCAGGCATCTTGAATTCAGATCTTGTCTCCAGTGAAATAAAAAATGTGACACAGATATCCTTTGACTAGACATAAGTAAAACTGGGCAAATAAGATATTTTCTCTCATTGGAAGTTGGCGGCATTTTGCTTGTGGTTTCGTTTTTGTAAACTGTGGTCAGAGCTTAAGCAATGAAAACCTGCAGAGGGGAGAGTTTGCAGACCTACAGGTGGAATCTGTGATTCTTTTGTTCAGAGGCAATGACCTAACGAAGAGATAAACCTCTGTGAGCATTCCCTCAAGCGGAGAGCCCCGTGTGGGGAAGTGCTGACAGTGTCTGAGAGGTTCTCAGGTGGGCACAGCCCTGACGCTCCTTCTGCGCTGCCAGTTTGCTAAGCGGTTCCAGATCCATGATGCAGGACCTGTCACTGCGTGGCTGCTCGGCTCCTAAAGAATGCCTGTGAGGTCTCTGGGCAAGCTCCGTGCAGGACCTCTCAGAGAGGAGGCTCTGTATGGGATTTCCCAGGGTTCATGTCTGTGGGTGGTCTCCCAGTGTGGGGTCCCTGGATGGGAGGTCTTTCTGTGGGTCTCTGTGGGAGGTCTCTATGTGGGTCTCTGTGTGGTCTCTGTGGGTCTCAGTCAGAGGTCTCTGGGTCTCTAAGCAAGCTTATCACCTCGAGCCGAAGGGACCCTTCCCCCCTGCAGGCCTCGGTGCCTCCGGGTGCCAGGGCCTCGGTGTGGGAGGTGCGGTGGCTTCTCTTCCCCTCGGCCTCTTCTCTTGCACCTAGGCTGCTGATCCCGGCAGCAGGAGAGGGGTGGGGACCCTGGGGTGACAGCCCCACGGCCCCTCCCATTGTCTCCCCTCCTCTGGGCCTGCGGGTGGCAGGGGGGGCTCCCAGGGGCCCCCGGGGCCTTGGTCACCACCCCACGTGTGGCCACACGGTGCAGCCTGTCCCCACCTCCCTGGCACCTGCCCCTACTCCACTTCCCGGGAGGGGCGCCCCAGGGAGCAGGGGACTGACTGGTCAGGGTGGCCTCTGGCTCCCCATCCGCTCACACCTCAGAGCCGGGGGTGTCCTCGCCCTGCGCTGCCCCAGGGGACAAGGGGGTGCTGCCACTGAGCTGCGAGGGCCCCTGGCGTCAGCGGGGACAGGAGAGCCCCCAGCAGAGCCACCCTCTACCCCCGCCAGGCCCGGGGGGCATGGTTCCCCCCATCCTGCACTCAGGGCCAGCCTTGCCTGCAGACCCCACGCCCCCCTCTGACACGGGGCACTGTCTGCCACCCGCCTGGAGCCCAGGGAGGCGGGGATGGGAGAGGGGCCTTCTGTCTCTGCAAACCCTCCCTATGGCCCAGGAGTTCGGGGTAGGGGCACCGCAGGACAGGATGGGCCCAGCTGGATCCTGGGGTGGGCCCTTTCAGATCTTGTTCCTCTTTTGTGTGTGGTCATAAGGACGGTGCTATGGAAACGGAAGGGGCATGAGGGGGCATGGGGGGCAGGTCGTGGGTTCACCCCCTCCAGGGCCCAATCCCTTCTGGAAGCCAAAGCAGGCACTTGGGGAGAGCAGACTCCATCCCTCTCTTTTCCCCAGCAGGGCCCACACAGAGGGCAGCACCTCTCATGAGAAAAAAAAAAACATATATTTTGGGAAGCAATACAAATCGTGGTTCGAAGAAGCCATTAGCCCATGGAGGATGTGCTAACATGAGAAAAATAAGTTTTTCTCTGTACCGTATGCACAGTCCTACCAGGAAAGCCATGAAAGGCACACACTGACTGGCCAGACGAGACGTATCTTTGGAAGAGGCAGTGCCTTGGGCAGTGGGGGTGGGGAGGGCGGCCTGAGGCTCCTGGTACCATGGGCCTGTGCTGGCACGCTCTGCCTGGGCACCCCGTCATCCTGGACGGGAAGGCCCACCTGTTGTCCCTGCCTGGGATCCACTCGGCCCTGTTGGGACAGCTGTGGCCCTTGGGGATGGCTTGCTGCTTGGAGGCCGTCTCTCTCATCACTCTCCTCTGCTCTTGGTAGGAAAGAACCCTGTGGTAGCAGACGTTGGGACCTGCTGCAGCCCGCTGATCCCTTTTGTAGCAGTTGCACTCCGGGGCCCGCAGACCCTGGTGAGGCACCATTTTCTCCTCCAGGATCTGTCCCACGGCTGTCACGAGCACCTGAGCCTCAGCAGGCCCCCTGCCCGGAGCCGACCTGCCTGATGCTCGGTTCCGGGCAGATGCTGGAGAAGGCTTGCCTTTCGGGCCGGGATCTTCCTGTCCTTTGCCTTTACCGGGAAGAATCCACTGCAGAAAGTGCCTCACCTTTCTTCTGAATTGGCTTTCTGGAGGAACCTCCTCCTTCTTCAGCAAGACGGGACAGAACTTGCTTCTCGAGGGCTCTGGGGATGCCTTGTCCCGGGAGTGATGGTTCATCTCACTGATTTGGAAGACCTTTAGTTCTCCTAGCTCTTCCTCATGCTCTCCTGCGTTGGGCCTCCTGTAGTACTCTCTCTCTTGAGCGGGGATAGACAACTTGCTCTGGCTCCTAGAGGGGGCCTGCAGGACCAGGGGCTCTGGCTGCCACTGGCTGTCCTGCCCACTCGATACGAGGCCAAGCAGCATCTGGGAAGTTGATGCGTCTTCACTGGACACACTCTGGAAGTCAGACAGAGATCCCCGAGAAGCCAACATGTCTGCAGCAAGGAACATATCGGACTGACATTCTTGAAGAAGACTGTTGGTGGCACAATCTTGAAGAATCACCCCAGTTTCACAGTCTTCAAGAAGCACATTGGAGATGGGGGCTTGAGGCTGGTTCTCTGACTCTACCAATCTCTGGACTGCAGACTCTCTCAGCTGTTCATCAAGGCATGGCTCTTCTGGGTCTTGGGCAACCAACTTTACAGATGCTGAGGGGCCATTACTGCTCCCAGAAGACCCCGATCTTCTCAGATCCACATGGATGGTTTGGTCATTAGGAAGCACACTGGGTTCTAAGGTGTCACCCCAAGCAGGGGCCTCCTCACTCTCTGCTGCCTCCCTGGACTCTTTGGCACTCAAAGACTGGGACTCTAAGTTGAGCTCTAGCACTGTTATGTTACAGCAGGAGTCTCGTGAGGCCCGACCCCCCGTCTCCCTCCTTGGCTCACTGGTGGTCGTTGCTGGACTTGGACTTGACTCCAAGCTGCTATACTCAAAAGCCCCCAAGACAGTTTCACTGTGCCAGATTCTGCCCACAAAGCTGTATGTGAGGGTCTGAGAAGGTGGCCTGGCCTCCTGTCCAGCCACAGGGGCCTCTGGGGGCCCATGGCCCTCACCAAGTGAGATCCCTTCCAGGGTCTGTGGGATCTCCTCACATTTAGGCTGAGGGGCAGGGAGGGGGGTCTCTGAGGGGGGAACTGCTTCTTTTGTTATTTCCTTCTCCCCTCGATGGGGCTGAGGAGGTTTGCCCAAGAACTTGGCTTTTGAGCGGGCCTTAGATATGCTGGTGGCTGAGTGGGGAGTGGAGGACCAGGGAAAGATTGAGCCTTTTTTCAACTTAAAGAGATTTATGGGCTTGAGAACCTTGAGGGGTAGGCTCCATCTGTGCTTTACCCGGAACCTTATAATATGTGCTTCTAGCATCCGTTGAGTGTACGGGCTGAGGATGGAAAAATCGTGGGAAGTGGTCATGCAGGGTTTCCAACCCTTGGAAATTGCTGGCTTTCCAGTTTTCCTGTGGATGCTTGGCTTGCCAGGAAGATCTGAGGCATGGTTGACGGCAAGCCTAGAGCGATGAACATCCACAGGGATCTGCCCCTCTCTGATCTGCCCCAACTTCCTGCCCAAATGGGCTCTCAGGATCTTTTCTGGATGCTTCTTGTCCTGGATGCTTGTCGAGTGCTTCATTATGTCTGGGTCTGACTCCTCAGAACCTTTCCCTGGATCCTTCCACGGAGAAGTTGATGAGCCCCTGCATAGATCTTTCTGAATCTTCCGCACACTAGACCTTGTATCCTTGCCCAGGTTTTTTCCTGGCATGGTCCTTGCTGGGTTCCTGGACCCGGTCTTCTGCACAGCCTGGCAGCTTCGGTCTCTGGATGCAGAGGGCCACATGGGTCTGTGCTGGTTGTGTGCCTGTGTCACCTTCAGGGCCTCGTCTTGAGGTTGGATCAGCTTCACAGACAGCTGGATTTTGTGGGGCAGGCCACTCTGGTGCCTCATGAACCTCTTCCAAAGGTGCCACTCCAGTTGCTCCCGGAGCTCAGGGCTGATCAAATCCTCAGGAAGGACAGAGATGGACTCATGGGCCTCAGGGGCCTGGTCATCTTGCAGAAAGTTGGGAGAGACTTGGCTAAAGACTTCCTGAGATCTTTTTACCACAGCAGGTAACGTCCTGTCCCTTTCTAATTGCTTCTTTAAAAAGTGACATTCCAGGTTTTGAATTGCAGTTGAGATGAAAGATGGTGTATTGTTCTCAGATGCAGGGCAAGGTATCCCCATCTTGGGTGGAGAAGGAGGCAATTCGATTGGAACAGAGGGTGCAAAGTGGGCCTGCGGCTGGGGCAGAGCCAGAGGCAGGGGCGGGGACTGGGACAAGGTTGGGGTCAAGGGTTGGGGCTGGACCATAGCATCAGGTAAGGACTGGGCTGGTGAAAGATGTGAAGCTATGTTGGCCTGCATTGGGAGGGGCAAGGTCTGAGAGAGTTCATTGAATATGACAGATGGGAGCTCCAGTGGGGAACCAGCCATGCTGACAGTGGCCACCAGGGACTCACTGTGCAGAAAGGGGAGACCCCAGAAGAGCTGGCTGCATTTCTGCTGTAGATTGTCTCCCGAAGTCCCGTGATATGGAGGCTTTTCTGGACTGAGCAGCCGTTCTTGTATGCTTCTCATGCTCCAGAAGGATTGGCAACCCAGGGTGTCCTGCTTGTCACCTGGGGACTTGCACCTACTCCCCAAAGAGTTTAGGTGGTCATCTGACTCTTCCTTCTTCCAAATCTTCAGTTCTATTCTCTTAGTGATTAGTATCTCCAGAAGCTTCTGGATATCGGGGTTGATGAAAGAGGGGATATTAGCCTCTACCTGTCTGTTGGTGGAGTCTCCCCAGAGCAAGACCTTTGGTGGCTGGTGGGACAGAGGCTCTTGCTGGGACTCTAAGTGTGTTGAAGTGGAGAAGCTCCAGGCTTTGGCAGTTGCCTGCCAGCAGGACAGGGCTGAAATAGGACAGCTTGAGTGGCCTAAGCCTGAGATGACTGGAACAGGAGAAGCTAACCAAGGAGTGTGTGGAGATGAACTCTGTGGGATGGTGTTCAGTGGGGGTGCCATTGAGTCACACAGAGGGAGAGTCAGAGTAGAGTCTGGCCATGCTGGGGCAGAGGAGTCTGTCAGAGGGGGAGTACAGGCCTCTGAAGAAGGGAGACTTGACAGGGAAGGAGAAAGAGCAAGTGGCTGGTGTGAAAAGCCATCCAGGGGAAGGAAAGGGTCTGGTGGCCAAGAAGCACTCAGGGAGAAGTGTGAAAGAAGAGAAATTGAGGAGGTCGTTGGGCTTGGTGACAGAGTGGAGGCCAGAGGTAGAGGGCATCCAGTCAGAGGAGCGGGGGAAGGTGATGGGGCCAAGACGGGAGCAGCATCTTCCCCAGGCTCGCTGCATGGCTGGTGGGCTCCAGCAGATGCTGCTTTGGACACCTCCTCAGGGGCTTCTTGATGTAGGAACTGATGAAAGGCCTCTTGGTCAGGGACCCTCCCCAGGTGGCTGCAGGAGGCAGGAGGCACCAGCTACAGCCAGGAGCAGACGTGGCCAGGAGAGTGGGCCCCACGGCCCTCCACACCCCCACACCCACTTCACAGTGCTCTTGCTGTTCCTCACCCCAGGGCTTTAGCCACACTCTGTCCCCATGGCTCCCCTTTGCCCTCTCCCCCACCCCCAGGACAGCCCTAGGGTCCCTGCAGTGCTGGGCTCACACCATAGACTCTGGGAGGAGGAGCCAGCAGAGAAAGGGGAAAGATTCTTTACCTTTGGAGAAGGGAAATCAGGTCCCGAACCTCCTCCAGTTCTTGCAGGCAATCTCTGCAAGCTTGAAACACGAGACTGGGTCATAGACGTGAAGGCAGGGGCCCAAGGGAGGAGGCTGGGTACAGCGTCCCTTTAGGGGAGACCTTTGTGGTTTAGACTCGGGAGTCCCAAACTTCAGTGTCCAGGGCCACGTGCCACACAGTGACATCAAAGCTCATGATGGGGATCACTTTGTCCTATACAGAGTGCATCCCCATTCATGACCTTGTTGGGGGAGACAGGACTGGGTGACCTCACAGAGGACTCTGAGCAAAGTTGGACCTCTTGTCCACAGTTGGAGCTAGAGGTTGACCAGGCCCTGCAGCTCCTGCTGGGCAACACCATGTCTGGCCCCTTGGGGCTTCGTTCTGGCCCAGAATCGGGGAAGTGTCAGGGTCCTGCTCTGCCTCCCAGGAGCCCCCACCAGGGCTCTGTTTCCCGAGGAACAGACTCGGGCCCCAGGATCCTGGAGATGGTGGGGCTGGGCCCTCGGAGCAGGAGGGATGGTGTACCTGGGGTGCGCAGGGCTCGGGGGCAGAGGCTCACCTTTCAGAGTCTTCAGAGTCTGGGCTTTCTTCTGGCTCCTGCTGCTCCTTCTCCGAGGCTCCACTCGATGCTGAGATGAGAGAACATGGGGAGACTGGGACCCCCTCCCTGCCCTCTGGAGCAAGCTGCAGATGCTCAGTGCTCATGAACAATGTGACTTCCTACATTTAACTAAGGGGGGAGGGGGCATGGGTTTCTTTCTTTTACTCATTTTCAAAGTGGATAAATACGTTTTCAGTTTTTCTTCTTTGAAGAATGTACAGAAGGATTTTCTACGTGAGAAATTCCTCTGTCACTGGTCCTCTGCTCAAGAAACACACACATCCCCAGACCTGCAGCATCTGCGTTTCTTTTTTTTTTTTAATTTTTATTTATTTATTTATGATAGTCACAGAGAGAGAGAGAGGCAGAGACACAGGCAGAGGGAGAAGCAGGCTCCATGCACCGGGAGCCCGACGTGGGATTCGATCCCGGGTCTCCAGGATCGCGCCCTGGGCCAAAGGCAGGCGCCAAACCGCTGCGCCACCCAGGGATCCCATCATCTGCGTTTCTTCAGGTAAGACCCTGCACCCCGAGGTCAGAGCCCCACTCCAGCTGCTTCCTGGGGCCTCCTGAGCCCAGCGCTGCCCTTGATTGGCCCCGACAGAGCAACATTCACCTGAGACACCTGCCCCAGGAAGGTGGCTGGTGAACGGGTTCTCAGGGGCCTGATCTGTGCTAGAGATGGAGCCCTCAGCCATCCCGTCCTCGGCCACTGGTGGTGTGTGTTGAGGATGTTGTCCTGGGGCCCTCCACCACACCTGTGCTCCTGGCCTGAGATCGTCAGGTAGAGATCCTCGTGCCCCTCTAACCTCTTTCTGGTCTGGCCTGTCCCTGGACAGATGGTGTTCTGTTCTATTCATAACAATGCATGTGCTGCTCTTTCCTACCTCAGGAGTCTCTCCAGTGATTCAGAAAAGTAGAAATACTAATAGAAAAGAGGATGGGATCATGCTCTACTGGGTCTGGGCTAAGGGTTCCTTACCTTCCTGCTGTTTCTGTGTTTCTCATGTGGTGGTAAGGATGGATCATTCCGGAAGTAGGAGAATAACAGGAAGAAGAGTCCTAGTCCACATAGGAAGGTGAAGATGATATTAATTGCCCAGGAAGTGGGACCGGAGCTCAGCCAACTAGCAATAATGTATTTCTGAGGGAAGAGGTAATTCTCCATCTCTTTTTTCTGAAATGCATTATGTCAGGTTGCACGGCTGCCTGCAGGCCACTAAACCCTGGGAGTAGACTTGGGGACAAGAGCCCCAGGCCCACATCACAGAGCTGTGGTCTGGTCACAAAGGGCTCCTGAGGGCAGTGAGGGGACAGAAGTAGTAGGACTGCAGCCCCTCCCTGCCACCTGGCTCTGCAGCTTCATCTCTCCACACTCCCTGGCCTGCCACTCCTCTTCTCTCCCCCTGTAGAGATAGACCTTTGTCCATTTGCTCTTTGTCCCTCCCGGAACTCAAGTAATACCTGCTTCCCTTGAGATCTCTACTTGGGCTCCGTCAATTTCATAGCTTCTAAAAATCTGGAGTTGTCCCTGGAATTTTGATTAATTCCCAGGAACTTTTGCTTTTTGGGTGCTCTCTGTCTGCATCTCCAACGTCCCCACATACTATGTTTTTGCCTTGCATCACACCCTTAGCTGTGTGAGTTTTGGAAACATCTTAAAATATTTTATTTCAATTCTCACTATCTTCAGCTAGAGGGACTTAGAAAATGAATAGTTACTCAAAATTTACAAAGCTAAATAAGTATAAAGCAGATTGAAATAGTTAAATCTTCAAAGTACTTTTTTTTGGTAAGTTTCTAGCATTTTTGCTTCTGAGATCAGTAGAGAGTGAATGGCAGAAACACTCTTAGAACATTCTCTGTAGACACACATACACACACTCACACACATTCTTTAACAATTCTGGCATTTTCAAATCTAAGGAGCAAGTTCTTCTTTTGTTTTACTGTTTTATTTTTCAACTCTAAGGTTTCTCTTAGTAATTCTTGTAAGTTTGTATACCTCGGAATATCTTCATTTTGCCTTCATTTTTGAAGGACAGATTTACTAGATATGGAATTTTGGGTTGACAATTTTTTAAAAAGATTCATTTATTTATCTTTGAGAGAGAACAAGTGGAGGGGGAAGAGCAGAGGGAGAGGGAGAAGCAGACCCCTCTCTGAGCAGAGAGCCAGACGTGAGGCTCGATCCCAGGATCCTGAGATCACAACCTGAGCTGAAACCAAGAGTCTGATACTGAACCGACAGAGCCACATAGGTGCCTCAACAATTTTTTTTTTCTTTCAACTTGTTGACTATTGTCATTTCAAGGCCATTCCCTCATTGGTTCTGATTGGAAGTCAGTGGTTATTCTAACTGTGGTCCTCTGGACTATGAAGAGAAGTTCTTGTCTTGCTTCAAAATTTCCGCTTTGTTTTTCCACTGTGTTGTTTACATCACTGTTTGTGATGTATTTCAGAGCAGATCTGCTTCTTTTTATTTTATTGTAGGTAAACACTGAATCCATCAAATTCGGTGAGTTTTCAGCCACTATTTCTACAAATATTTTGTCTCCCTCCTCCTTTCTCCTTTCTTTCTGAGAGCACTCCCTTAAGTAGATAAGAACATCCAAATGATTCTGCATTTCTCGCAGGTTTGCAGCAAAACACTACCCGAGACCCTGAATTTCTCAACATTCACGTTAGTATCTAGAAAGCAGCTTAGGTTCTGAGAATGTCTTTGATACGGAGTGTTTTGCTGGCATCGCTGAAAGCTGCCTGTGTGACGATGTGCTCGTGCACATGTATTCTGACTATAGTGGGGCTGTGAGTTAGGGCCATTGCTTTGGAAAACACTTTATCATGACCTGGTACAGGCTGAAGAGAGTGGGCCTTTGACAGAGCGATTCCAAGGCTAGAGCTGGAGAAACTCCCCCATTTTACAAAAGCAAAAAATGGGGAACAACCCAGTCTAATCGAGTGGGAAGTCCGTGCTCTGCAATATGCCAGAGTATCGTGCTCAAGTCAAAGTACATGAACTATAGCTAAACATCGTAAAAGCAAGTTATGTAGACACACTACTGAGGAAGAAATAAAACACAAGCGACTTGCAGAAAATTTATACAGGATGATTCCATTTGTTCTAGTTTCACAACTATACGATACAAAATAACGTGTTATTTAGCAATGCATTTACTTTAGTAAAATTACAAAGAAAATACTGAGAGTGATGAACAGGATTGAGGAACGAGGTGGGGAGGGAAGTACAGACACCTCCAAAGATGTGGACAATACCGCAATTCTTAGGTTGGGATGTCTACGGGTTTTATTTTCACTATCTCTTACATCTTCTATAATAATTTATAAATGTTAACATAACTTTAAATGTCAAGACACTTCATGGTAATGTAAACAACCCCACTGGAAATAAAACTGAACATAGCAAAAATAAAATGCCCAACAGCCTCATAAGGAAGGGAGCAGAAAAAACGATTATAGGGATGCTTTGTGCTCTAGAGCAGTCTTTGTTCTCAATACCTTGAGGACCCCAGCATGACTTTGAGTGTTGAAGCCGTGCATTGCCCATTTCCCCACTGCCCTGTTTACAATAAGCTGGATTCAAATAAGATCACCTTCTGATAGTTTCCAAACCTGAAATAGTAAAACGCAGATCTGTGACTCTTAGTGGATGGCACTTGCTTCCTCTTGGCTAGAGATTTTCAGCAGTAAATGAAGGTATTGAGCTGTGGCTGTCACCCTGGCTGTGCTCTGATTATGCCAGGCAGCGGGACCTGGATCTGGCTGGCACACGATCCAGGCTCTTGGAGCAAGGTGACCGTGACTTGACAAAAAACAGATCAGACCAGACCTCACGCTTGTGGTGAGCTTTTATTAAAGCAAAGAGGAGGAGGTGCGAACGTATCTGAATTTAGGCCAGGGACTCTGAGGCGAACAAGCCCTGAGCTTGCCAGGTGACCCATAGAAAAGTACTTCTCATAAATAAAACATGGGGAAAAGTAAAAATGTGAAATATATAGCTGCCTTTGAAGAAATTTAGATATGCTTTTCATGTTTGGAGCATTTTTCTTGTTTATTTATAAATATTGATCTTAATATTTATGTATAATACATATCTTTTTAGAAGAAAAACACCATTTCTACATATTTACGCTGGGTAGACATAGAGCTGTGCCTTTTTGGAGCTGGCATGACATCCTTCATGACAACACTGATGCTCACGGAGATGGACTGCATCCCTGATTCCCTCTTCCTTGGCGCTTCATCTGATACATCATAAGTTCTGTGCCAATGGAACACGTGGTGTACCATCTTACTTTTTCTGTGATGAATGCCAGGATTTGATAAATGCTTTACCTGGGAGTGCTCATTCAATAGCCCAGGTTATAACATTCAGTTCTTTAGTGCCCTGTGTGTCATCTATTCAAATCCACGTGGGTAAATTGAGGGCCTGCCCAAGCTCTGGGCCCACATTATAGGATATTCCCTGAAAGAGACAAGAACATCCAGATAATTCCACATTTCTCCCAGGCTTGCAGTGAAATGCTGTCCAAGAAACTAAGTTTCTTAATACTCATGTTAGTACCTCATGTTAGAAAGTAGTTCAAGTTCCAACATAAACATTTTTGTGAATAAAGCCAGCTCAATGAGACCTGAAGGATCTTTTATTGTCCTTTTCACTATACAGAGGATGCTTTTGCCGCATATAATCTATATCCTTTCAATTTGCCGCTTTGCCTCACTACCTAAGACCTCCATCAACAGAGCAAAGTGCACACTCTGGAGGATATGGTAATGTGTTTTCAGTCTTCAGATTGGCTAAACTAAAACATGATGCTGGAAAAAGAGCAGGATAACAGGTGCTCTCATTTATGCTGGTGAGGTGTGAGTGGTTGTCATCCACTCCAGAATATTCCAAGAAGAGATCTTGAATTTTAAAAATAGGTTTGTGTGTATGTTTTTAGAACACTGAAAAAGTATGGAGCCCAGAAAAGCAATCCTCAACAAGACGAAAAGACAATCTATCAATGGGTCCCAGGAAGGCCAATCAAATGACTCTCAGGATCAAAAGAAGATATGTGACAAAAGGTCAACGATTTGGGTTATTTTAGTCTTTAAGTGACAAAGTAAAGAAGTGACCATCCCTCTCCATATATATTGGGAGGTTTTTATGAAAATGGCACTAATTGGCTTCTTGCATCCTCAGAAGCCCAAGGAAGTTGAAGTTTTACTAAGACATTGGAACATACTAAATATCAAGTTTGATAAGACCTGTTCTATTAAATCAAAGAACTTATAGATTCTGATTCTGACTTTTGAGAGAAAGGGAAGGATGCATGGATCTTCCTTGACCTAGTGAGATATTTACTTGTATTTTGGGGGGCCTGGGCTCTGATGCTTCCAGTATGATGTTTATGCTCCATTTCAGCAAGTTTCCTTTAAAATGCATTTCTCTGGGCAGACTTGACTCAGACCAGCTCAGTTGGCTCCAGTGATCCCAGCTACAGTCACCAAGCTGACTGGTTGGCTACATGTGTTTCTACCTGTGCAGTTGATTGTATGAGGACGTATGTGAATTTTGTGTGGTCATGTTTTATATGATAATAATGAGTTTGTCCTTTTCTGGAGAACATAGAAGGTGGAGCATGAGTTTTCAGAGGTCTGAAGCAGAAATTGATAAATCAATGCTATTGCTACATTCTCTCTACCCCTTTTTAAAAATGGGCAGTGTGGAGCACCTGGGTGGCTCAGTGAGCATCTGTCTTTGGCTCAGGTTGTGATCCCGAATCCTGGGATTGAGTCCCACTTCTCCTTCTGCCCATGTCTCTGCCTCTCTCTCTCTCTCTCTCTCTCTCTCTCTCTGTGTCTTTCATGAATAAATGAATTTTAAAAATCTTAAAAAAATAAAGTGGCCCAATGTGATCCATAAAGGGACTGAGACTAATTCCTAACCCTATTTCACTTAAAAAAATTATTTTGAGGGATGCCTAGGTGACTTGGTTGGTGAAGCATCTGCCTTCAGCTCAGATCATGATCCTGGGGTTCTGGGATCGAGCCCCTGTTTGGGCTTCCCACTCAGCCAGGAGTCTGCTTCTCCTCCCTCTGCCCCTCCTCCCTGCTCTCTCTCACTCATTCACTCTCTCTCTCTCAAATAAAGAAATAAAATCT